GAAGTCTGCCAATTGATTGGCAAAATGGCAGTTTTTGATAGAAATATCTGAGAAACTTGATTATTAAGATTTGTTTAGCACAAGTGCTTACAAATCTCCTGACAAGTTACTAACTTGACTTGAATAAATCTAGAATTGAATTTAGAGTTCCCCAAACTTAATCCCTTTCTAAGGTTCTGAATCCACTCGTCCACGATACAGGGATCTCCCTGCCCGGAGAATTTCTCAGCATGATAGTTGCGGAACTGTGCGACTACTGCGGCCTGAGTAAGAGTCGGGTAATCGGGTTCCCTATGGGGCGGCATCTGAACATTAAGAAAGTTCAAAATTATCGAACACGTGATAATATTCTGACTGATTACTAAGGCACACAAATCTCTTGGCGATTTGCCAAAACTGACTGACAAATACTGACATGAATCCTGAGGAACTCTAGAGTCATATCGGACGATACTGAATTCTAGAGTTATATCTGAACTCTAAAGTTTGAATCTGATTCGAGCATCTTAACTAAGTTCTTGACTGATTATTTCTGAGCATAGACAAAGTAATATATTTATAACTGAAAACATAAATCAGCACTTACCTGTAGTCGACGAGGCGTGAGCGTGACGGTTCAGGTTTTTTTCTGAAAATTACTGACTGAAAAACTTTTCAGAGACGCAGAAACGTGCTCTGATACCAATTGTAACACCCCGCTATTTTACTGAAATCAGAGTACGCATTTTTCGCAAATTTTTTGAATAAACTTAATAAAATATTTATTTTGCGAAAACTGATTCGGAGTGCTACTGTGAAAATCTGACTTTTTTGAAAACCGTTAAATTTTAAACTGATAATAAAATGGTTTTAAAATCTACTAACCGACTAACGTCGGGTCAAAAGCTGACTTAAAGTACTGAAAACTGTAGCGAAATTCTGTGTAGCCAAACACAAAATATACGTATGAACAGTTATCCATAAATATCCTGAACTTCCCGTCAGCTCACTCCTCGTCCCGACCCTGCGACCTGAAAAACATAAAATATGTGGGGGCGTGAGCACTAGAACACTGTGCTCTGCAGAAACTCATACTAAAGTATACATCGAAAATAATAACAACATCGTGATCTTGGCATATACATAACCTGAACATAAAACCGGTAATAACATGAACATGAATCTAATATCATCACGTGAACGTGAACCATGACCGTTACCTCATCTGTCGGCAAAGCCGGACAGCATGTGCACACTCTAGTGGGCAGACTAAGGCCACTAGAACCCAGAATGGACCGGAGACCATTCTGAGCGGATACATGACATGAAATACATACCTCAAACATGGTACTGTAATTATAATCAATGTAGTACTTAGTCTGAGTCCCCACCTGATCCGTGAAAATAAAGGTAGTGTTGATGCTCGTGACCTGATCATCAAACTGAAATATAATATAAACAATTACTAATGACTATGCTCAGACTGTTAACTTAACTGATTAATTATGTTAAGATGCTCTTCTGAACGTGACATAATAATAATTGGACTTAACCG